CCGTTGACAGTCATGTTGTTATATGTTCCCAGATTGCAATTGATGCTGATGATGCGGGGTCAGGCTTGACATGTCGATTTGCAGGAAGACCGGTTCGGGGAAGAGGGGCGTCTCTTCATAGATAAACTGGTTCCACGTGTCGGTCCAATGTTGCGATGATTACGAGGGGGTTACGTTGCTGAAGACGAACTTGTGCTGGCCCGGAACGTAAGGGGCAAATGAAGCAGCAGCAGCTGCAAAGACACAAAAAGTGGGTTCAGAAACATTGTGTTGGCAACCCTGCCGCTATGCCCATTGACGTGGACATAGAGCATTAGAGCTTTAGCACCCTTTGCTAAAACTCTAATGCCTGTATCTTCACACCACTTCACACTGCATTGTAATCACTTGGCAAGTGCACGCACATGGTATGTTCAAACAGCGATACGGGAGCGATATCTCTATCAATAGCAACTCAGGCAACCTGAGAATAAGACAACTTTACCGCTGGAAAAAAAGAAAGCACCCCAGTGTACTATTTACATACCTCAAGCTCAGGAACAAGGGTTCAAAAATGTCACAGAGCTTAAGTCGTGCCCAAGCACCCCAACCCAAATGATGGTGTTTGTGGCGCTGGGGCTGCCGCTACGACAGGATTAATATAACATTGAATAATTTAAGTGATCCCATTGTTTTCTAACAAATAATATTACACTATGTTTATTAGTAAAAGTTTTTCTGGAAAATTATGAGCAAGAATCTCAAAATGTAACTTTTTTTTCACAGCAGCTGTGTCTAGTGGCCAGCCGAGGTAACACTACAAGTAACGGAGTAACTTGCTACATAGTATATCACTCCATGGAGCACCTATCTCAGCCGCGAAGGGCCCCAAGTGTTATTGCTCTATGGGCAGACCAGTAAAATGGCAGGTTAGTTTCGGTTTCGGTATACCGTATTGCTACAGCTAAAATATACTTTAAAAGTTCTTGGGAATTTTACTTGCTGTTCTAGACTCAGACTCTTGTGCATCTTCAGAAAATATGCTTAGTAGTTGAAAACGTTCAAATTGACGCCAGAGCTTTCCTTCAAGAATGAGCAGTGCAGTAATGCACTGATTCTACAGTTCTCCTGGTTTTATTTGTCCTCGGTGAAAGCATGCACTTCCATGTTTGTCCATCTTTTTTTACTATCGGAGCTTTTCACGTCATCAACTGACGACTTCTACATAGGGTAGTTTAAATTTCCTTTCCTTGTACAACACTGCAGTTTTAATCCTCATTGGTTTCTATAGCAAAGCAGTAATTGTCTAATTGTTCATTTTCATTGGCATCAGTTCTTTATTTGCCATGGCCTTTAAACGGTACTCCTGCCCTTTGGTGGTTCTTGATACACAGGTTACTTGGGCTAGTTTGTTAAAGGGATACTGAATCGAAACTTAAAATGTATGTAAAACATTCAAAACTAAGTAAATGATAATCACAGGCTTGCATTTTGAGCAGATGTCTATATTCTTCGCTCTTAATGCTGGACCTTGGCGAGCACTTCAAAGTCGGTCATCGAAGAGCATGCGATGCGTCCCGGAAGATAAAGTGCGCCTGTGACGACATCGTGTCTGGCAGGGCCAGGCGTACCGTAGTTACGAGTTTTGCCACTTGGTGATGTCAAGCCATTACGACCTCGTTTTGTCAAGGTACCCGAGGACTGAATGACCTCACGACCGCACCATCTCCACCTCCACCAACACGTTTGCGGAGTGCTGGTGCTACTGGCTGCCTACAGTTGTGCGTGTAGAGCACCATGCCAACATGAAGATTACTACTACGATGACGGCATCAGTCTGCTCTGCCGGCTCGCTTGCAACGAGATTGCAGTCAAGCAATGCCTTTAGTCGGTCAAACCATAGTGTTGTTTGGTCCACATACTACATTGGTGCCTTTGCGCTCCTTTCGGAGTGAAGTCCTTCTTACAAAAATTATTGCAACACAAGCTTAGGATATGGCGGATGAGCGATACAGAAATCTTCGGCAGTTCCCCTTCGTTGGTAAAGTGGTGAACCAGCATGTCGCTTTAGTCTGTACACCACACTTCTGCTTAAGCCGGCCCCTTGCCGCACAATGGCGTGGCGTCTCGCTGTAAACACGCAAAATGATCACAAACATTTGATTCGTCCAGTGAAGCAATCTTTTCGAAGGGGATGGCTGCCCGTCCATCAAGTTCGTCAACGCGGGAAGGGCTCTACAAAGGTTGGCATGGCCTACTTGACAATATTGTTTCCGCCAATCTCCCACAATGGCGTTCTCCCACGGCACAGCGCTGCTGTTACAGGTCCAATGGCAACAGGGCCCTCCAACGAAGCTTCAGGGGCCTCCGCTAGGTGAAGTTCGTGAATTGTTTTAAGACTAGGGCTGGGCATCGATTAAAAATTTGAACCCGCTTAATCGCCACCCTTTAATTGATTTATTGATTGATTAATCGGTCTCTCTCATTTTCATGCATACTATTTTTAGAGCTTCAAAATTACTTCTTTTTTTTCCTTTTGCTGATTATGTGATATACGGTGCAATATACAATATCTACTATGAATCCACTTCGATATGTGTTGAGAACAGTCCAAGAACACTCACACTCACAGACGTTTTACTTCAGCTGCATGAGACTAAGAGGGTCGTTGATGATCTCCAGCAGGAGTGACTGCCTTTGTTTGTTCACAATAGCCGCTGCTGCACTAAATGAACATTGCACAGCATAGAAGTGGCCAGGACAAATGTAACTATCTGCACTTGTCTAGAGTAACAAATCTCGAGTTTACTTTAGGTTTAAAATTTCGCCTAAAATTTGCCCTTCATGCAACTGTACCCATCTGCGTGGTAAGAGCGTTTAATTTTTCTTTCTTTTGGTCTGTTAAAATTCCACCAATTAACCGGTTAAAAATATTAATCGTAATTAAAGCATTGATTTATTAATCGGTAGGTTAATCTATCAGTCGCCCAGCACAAATTAAGACATCTGTTCGCACACTTTCGAACCAACAACTGGTGTTCCTGAGGTCTTTGTGTGCACTAAGTCGCTGTTGTTTATTTGGAAAAAACACTCTCTATAGTTTGTGTCACTAGTTCCGTGCAGTACAGGCAAAGGCAACGCCAGGCGAGAGGATCAAGGGCGAGCAGTAGGAAGGCTGAGGACAAGGAGAGAAACCTCCTCTCCTTTCTGCCGTTCCTAGTGCTCTCCCTTTCTCCCCTCGCCCTCTATTTCCCTCCTCTCTTGTCCTCCCTTCCTAGTGCTCGCCCTTTCTTTCTTCGCCTGGCGTTGCCTTCTCCGGCACTGCACACAACTAGTGACACAGCATAATACGGATGCCTTCAGCCTGTTTTGTCGTCATGTCGAGGCAAAGCTTGCTTGATATAATCACTTTTTTTTATGGGACGATAGATGCCTTGCTGATGCAATTTACTCTAATATGTCTTGTATTTTATGTGCCTCAAACTTCTCTGCTTGTTTAGCTTTTGTGTCCGTATGATAAACACAGTTTTGGCACCAAGTGGTATCACCGCTGCTAAATAGCAGGGTTGTGAGAAATGGATTGCAATTAGCTGAGGGTCCCCTGTTTGTTTCTTGCAAAATGAATACAGCACACAAAAAGTTTGTCAATTGAAAAGAGAAATATAGACGAGTGCTGCACTTGGGGGGGGTGGGGGGGGGGGGGGGGAGGTCTTGTGTACTTCTTTCCTCGGTCTGCATATTTTTGTGCACTGTGTTTATTCTTCTAGTCACGAATCAACTTGCTTACATCGCCACTTTAGTATGTTTCTACATTGATGCATGATTCTTTCCAGTGTTGACTCCGTCAAGTTTCACCATAAACATGTGGGCGCATACAATGCATCTTTCCACTGTAGCGTTGTTCTCCAGGGACAGAGGCTAACTCTCGTACTCGGGCTGAGACCTCCAGTCTTTCCGAAGTACGCGCCGACATAATCTTTGCGGTCCATGTATCATTTCGTGGAAACACGTTTTATGGACAAATTTTCATCTGTAGGAAAACATTTTGTTGATGAAATGCTGCAGGCTGTTGTGTCCGTGAAACATTGCAACATTGATGAAATGCTGCAGGCTCTTGTGTCCGTGAAACATTGCAACGTTGATGAAATGCGTGTCGCATTTCATCAACATTGTGACATTCCACGGACAGAAGAGCCTGCGACGTTTCATTGTCAAAATTTTTTTTCTACAGATTGGGTTGGATTTTGCCTTAATACACATCGATACACTGCACACACACTGGGGGCTTCCATCAGACGGGCACTTGAAACTTGTCCTGTGAGGGGGTAGCAGGCCATGGTCCAAGTCTGACCAACACCACTCGATGCCAAGACACATACATTGGCTCCTCAGAAACATGCACTAATCAAGCTTCAGCACATTTGGTGCTTGGTGCGGGTCGAGAATTCACCGACATTGACTTAATAAGCAGACCTTGTCTTCTAGGTCATATTGGTCTGGCTCGCAAATAAAAAAACAAATTGTTCACTAAAAATAGGGCATTTGGTGGCCACACTTGCCTTTGTAGCTTCCACAATACACCACCCAACTTTAATTGCACTGTCGGCATGGTCGGCTGTCTGATTGGCGGCATTACTTCATGCTCATAGTGAAGGTTGAATAGTATGATTTCTTTGCAGTTTCTTTGAAGAGAAAATTTGGTCTGGTGTGATATGATGAGCACAAAGACTTTTCTTAATTTTTAGGTTTGTGTACAATATAGTAAACCTCATGGGAGCAAGTTTGGGGACAATGTGCATTAAAAATTAAGACAACTAAAAAAAAAAAAATTAACTGTTGGGATGTTTTTTTGTTTTTTTTTTCCTTTACATTTTTGGCACTCAAATGATACGACCCCCGAGTACTTTCTATGGCTGGAGAGTATCCCTCAAATAAAAAATTAGGCACCCTCGCTCTATTGTCTCACATGCTAACACTGGTGCATTTCTAGCTTTGCTGTAACAGATCCTTTGACTGTGCAGGGCCACCTCCCCTCCCACCTCGTCGGAGCGTCTTCTCCGACAAGTGCAACGGATCGGGGGACCTTACCTCCATCCCTCCAGCTCCAACGTCAGCTGCGACTTGGACCAGTTCGGACCTTCTGAAGCTTCTGCGCGCCCCATCGGGAAGTGACTCGCGGACAAGCATCAAGTCCATTGATGCACTCTTCCTCGAAGACCATTCCTGGAAACAACAGTCGTCGTCTGTCACCACTACCCGCACCGAGCATTTCCAGCAACGGCAGCAAACCTGGGTCAGCACTCACCAGCAGAATCACGTGTTTGTCGGCACTGAGATGACCCACAGCAATTCGGCGCCCAACTTCAATGCCCTCTCGTCCAGTGCAGGCGTCTCCCCAGTCCATGTACACAACCTCAACTCAGCACTGCCTTCAAAACTGGACATTGAAAAGACAATGTTCAGCGTGCTACGGAAGAGGCCGGACAGCAACCTCATCGACCTGAGTGGAGATGCAGAGTTGGCGAGGAAGAGAGAGAGTCTCCGCAAGTCTGGCGACTCTCTCGATGACCTCTTAGACTTGTTTGACCCATTACGTGAGTTCGAGCTTACCGTCGAGGTTGAAGAAAAAACGCACACTTCGCAGTCTGCGGCTGAGGCTTATAGAAGCGAACAGACAGAGTGCAAGGCCAGTGCTGCTCCATCAAGGCCACCACGGCACAGCCCTGTTTCTGCACAGAAAAGGGCTCAAGACAGTCCTCCTCAGGAAGCGGCCCATTCTGTCGAAGCTCTCCGAATGCAGAGACACATACACCGGATGGAACTCCTTGGCAGTCTGACAGTCGAGAGGCGAGAAGTTACCCATGGCGACGACATCGAGGCTTTCTGGGCGAAGGTGAAGCAGCTGAGAAGCGAGTTCACCTACGACGATCATCACACCAACGCAGGCCTCGTCATCAGCCCGACCCTCGAAAACAAGTGGGAAAAGCATCTGAGCATCAAGCTGGAAGTCACAACGTCCATCGCCGATCGGCCATTTTGCTTCACATGCGACGTAGGTACGAGCATAGAGCACATCATCAGCAACACCATCTGCTCCCTGAGGGACGACCTCTCTGACATCGCCTTGGAGAATTACGTTTTGAAAGTGAAGGGCCTTGCGGAGTACCTCACACCAGATTCAGTCTTGAAAGAGTATGAGTATGTTCATCAGTGCTACAAGTTCATGAAGCCGGTCTGTCTAACTCTGATAGATGTCCGCGACCTCAAGAAGCCCTGGATGAGGACCCTGAGAGACGACAGCGAGTTTTTGGAGGTGAAGACGAAGGCCTTGCTCTCGCAGCCACCTGGACGAGTTTCCTTTGACTCTGTTTCAATACTGATGGAAACCTTCCGAAAGGAAGCCAAGAAGGTTCAGTCTTCGGCGTGTTCCGGGTGCTTGCAGCCTAATGGTGCAATCCAAGCTGTGAAGGCTATTTGTGCCACACTCTCTCAGATTGAAATTCTCGAGATTATTCATGCCATTGAAGGACTGAAGCACATCTGCAGTCAGGTCCCCGAGGCAGATGGCTCGAATGATGACTTTGCTGCCTCTCAGGAAGCCGGCCGAGGTTCCGTCGTAACACGTGAGCGAGTGGCTGAAGTAGTGTTTTACTCCCTTTTGCAACTGCAGTCGGCACTTCGTACCCTTGTCACAATTTACTGCCGCAGCTTCCGTGTTGACTTCTGTCTTCCACCAGGGGAAGACGGCCCAGTAAAGAAGCAACAGCGCCCTGTCACCACATTTCACGACACCTTTCTTTTCAATGCGGGAAGTGTCCATCAACTTAGGCCCCAGTGGGTCGCCGAGTATGACCAGTTCCTACTTTCCTGTGAGCTTCGTTATGGCTCGCGCGTCATGTCGGTGGGCGAGACTAAGAAGGTGAAGGCAAGTCGCAACTTGTTTGAGCTGATTGTCTTCGACGAGTGGCTTGAAATGAAGGTGTTTATGAGGAACCTTCCTCGGGAAGCGACCCTCTACATGGCACTCTACGGCATCAAGCCCTCTCAGGAAAACAAGTCTGCGGAGCCTCAGGCATTGGACCGTGTCCTTTTGGCCTGGACTAGTCAGGCACTCTTCAGCAGCCGACTCGAGCTGATCCAAGGGAGCCTCTTTCTGGGCTTCTGGTCATCGGAGGTTGACGAGCAGAGTGGCCCTGCCCAAAGCAACGATGCCTTTTCCTGTCCCATCCTCCGCGTTCAGTTCCCAGAGTTTGAGTCTGATGTCATCTTTCCGCAAGTGGCCAGGGATGACATCGTTACTTGCAGGGCCAGCACATACCCTCTGGACAGCGTCATGATTCAAGAAATCTCCGACATCCTCGAGAAGGATCCTCTCTCTGTGCCGACTACCGAGGATAGGAAATTCTTCTGGGACCACCGTCACTATACTCTTGAAATTCCTCACCTGCTTCCCAAGGTTCTTCTCTCGGCCCACAGCTGGAGTTGGCCTTTCCTCCCGGACATCTACTTTCTGCTGACCGAGTGGAGGCCAGCGTCCCCCATCAATGCACTCACACTGCTGCTTCCTCTCTTCCCCGACACCCAAGTACGACAGACTGCGGTGAAGTGGATCAAGAACATCGGCAGCGATGAGTTGTGCGACCACCTCCCGCAGTTGATTCAAGCACTCCGGTTCGAGACGTGGGAAGATGCACCCATCACCTGGTTTCTCCTGGAACGTTCTCTAACCAGTGTTCGTGTTGCCCACCAGATGTTCTGGCTGCTCAAGCAGAACATGGAAAACCCTCTGACGCTCAAGAGAATGAAGCTCATCGTTCAGACACTCCTGGTCATTGTTGGAAAGTCCTTTAGGGAGATCATTGAGAAGCAGGAAGAACACCTGAATCAGCTATGCATCATCGCAGAAGGGGTGAAGGAGACGAGGGAGTCTCTGCGGTTGGACAAGCTTCTTCAAGAGATGGAGACCATTCACAACATGATGGAAGAGAGTCCATCATGCCTTCCTCTGAATCCAGCCATGGAAGTGTGTGGTGTCGATGTCAAGTCCTGCTCATACTTTACCTCCAACACCCTTCCATTGAAGGTTGTCTACAGAAGCACCGAGCCTGGAGCAAAGCCGATCGAAGTTATCTACAAGGTAGGGGACGACCTTCGCCAAGACATGCTTACTCTTCAGATGATTCGTATCATGGACAAGTTCTGGCTGAAGGAAGGGCTCGACCTCAAAATTATTACGTTCACGTGTGTCGCCACTGGAAACAGGAAGGGTATGGTAGAGATGGTCACAGAAGCCGAGACGCTGAGGAGAATCCAAACCGAACACGGTCTCACGGGCTCTTTCAAAGACCGCCCCATTGCGGAGTGGCTGCAGCGACACAACACTTCGGAACTGGAGTATCAACAGGCGGTAGAAAACTTCACCTACTCATGTGCCGGTTACTGCGTCGCCACCTACATCCTCGGCATCTGCGATCGGCACAACGACAATATCATGCTGAAAACCTCCGGACACATGTTTCACATTGACTTTGGAAAGTTCCTCGGTGATTCACAGATGTTTGTCAACTTCAAGCGTGACAGGGCCCCATTCGTACTTACTTCCGACATGGTGTACGTGATCAACGGAGGCGAGAAACCCAGCAAGAAGTTTCAGGTGTTCATCGACCTGTGTTGTCAGGCATTCAACATTGTTCGTCGTAACAGCAACATATTTATGACCCTCTTCGAGCTGATGGTGACTTCAGGTGTTCCCGGAGTAAGCACCGACGCCGTAAACTTTGTGCAAAAGTCGCTCCTCCTGGGCAGTTCGGAAGGTGAGGCCACTGCTCATTTTACACGGCTCATTGAGGAGAGCCTTCGGTCGCGCTTCACCCAGCTCAACTTCTTCATCCACAACATCGCCCAGCTTCGCTTCACCGGTGACCACAACGATGGACTCCTGCTCTCTTTCGTGCCCCGCACGTTCACCAAGGAGTCCGATGGGAGGATCGTGTCCCTGACAGTCACCGGCTGCCACAAACGCTACGAACCCGAGAAGCATTACACTTACTCCGTAAAGATCACGCGGGAGTCCCAGACATCCTCCATTCATGTCTTCCGGACATACGCGGAGTTCCTCGAGCTCTACCAGAAGCTGGTGAGAATGTTCCCCCTTGCCAAGTTCTATCCACTGTCCAAGGGGTCCTTCGTAGGACGCAGCAACACGCGTGAGGTGGCCGAACGTCGGAAGCAAGACGTCGAGGCCTTCCTCTTGTCCTTGAAGAAGATGGCCGAAGAGGTGTCACACTGCAGTCTCATCTACACCTTCTTCCACCCGCTCCTGAGGGACCAAGAAGGGATGGCGGAGGACGAGACGCTCACCGACAACTTGTGCCAGTTTAGCAAGCGGGTCAACCTGTCGCAGGGGATTGTGGGTCGCATCAAGCTGTCCATCGTCTACAAGGCCGGCAGCCTGTCCGTCATGGTGATGCACGCCGAGAACCTTTCGTGCGAGCGCAAGTCGTCACCCGACCCGTACGTCAAGACGTACCTTCTGCCAGACTGGGACAAGTCGACCAAGAAGAAGACGAAAGTGGTCTTCAAGAACAGTCACCCCAGCTTCATGGAGCTGTTGGTGTACAACTTTCCGCTGGCTGTCGTGCGTAGCAGGATGCTTGAGGTGTCGGCGTGGGACCACGACAGGGTCCAGGAGAACGAGTTCCTTGGCGCAGCCATCATTGAACTGTCCAGGATGGATCTGTCCACAGAGACCACTCACTGGTATCATCTGAACAATGTTCGCTACCGGTGGCAGTGACGTAGCAGTGATGTGTTTGTGTGTGTGAATGGACAAAGCGATGCCAATTTTTTGGGCGTGTGTGCGAGTTGTTATTGTATGTCTAAGTTGTGCGAGATTGCAAGTCTCAGCTCTTGTGGTATGTGTATTCGGGGGGATGTAGTGCGAGAGTGCTCCCATGTTTCTTGCATGTGGAGACTGTTGATAGAAGGAAGTGTACAGTCTAGGACGCTTAGTATAATCATACATCATTCTTTCTTAACTTTTAATGTTTAATGAGAGAAAGTGGCAGTTAGAATTTGTTCAGCATACTCATTTTCTATCTGAGCACAACCATCAGAAAGTGCAGCAGTCTCTTTTTATCGTGCGGAACTATACCTTGAAATATTTATTCACGTACACGCGGCCGGCAGTCATATATTTTCCCAGATGTTGAGACTCTATCGACATGTTTAAATGTCTTAATTTAGTTTTCTTGTTTGTTTTTATTGCTTTTTTGTTTTGTTCTTTCTAGAATATAGATGTACTCTATTTTTGTACCAATCAGCGTTCACTTTCTTTCTCTTAATGTTTTCCCTACTTGCTGTCTGTTTACAGTGTCACTCGCAAACATTGGGTAGCTTTTCTGTAAATATTTTCCCGTCTTTATGCCATTTAAAAATGGATCCCTTAAGGCAACTTTGTTTGACAAGTGTCTGTTTTTCAATTTTCTGGAAGTTTGATATAGCTATTTTTTTAGATTGCTTCAATATACGTATTACCTCTTATTTATGGCAGCCTCGCTCGCTTCTATAAATTTGTTTTGCCTTTTAGTTGATGCTTTTTGACACTATAAGGCACCAGACTGGAAGAAAAAAAATGTCGCAGCCGTAAATGTAGTATGGCAATTCTTGTCATGCATAAAAAATGTGTCTGGTTGTATAAATGTTTAATATACACAGTTATTTCTTTAATTAAATCTTACTAAGCTTTGTTGTGATCTAATTCTATTTTCTGTGTTTGATTGCTCTGTCTGCTCAAATACATAGAAGATATGCAGAACTGTGGCCTGTGCAGCCACAAAACTTGGCCTATACATTGTTTTAGTCCAGTTTTCTAGAAAACTATAGGCCAGAGGTGTTTTCAGTGTGTGTTAGGATTGGGTGAATTAGAGCCTGCTGGGTGCCAAGTGCCTTTTCATAATAACCCTGGGGCCAATGTAGGACTTGATTACTCATGTCGCTCTCTTTCATGCATTCAATATGTTTCTAAACGTCTTTTGTAAAGCTCGATATCTAAAAATAAACTTTGTGGTACTACTAGGATACATTTCTCTCTCAATTCCTGGGCAACTCCGGTCCATACTTTCGATTTTGGGATTGACAGTTTTTAGTGCAGTCTGCGTCCAAGAATTGCAAGGTGTAATTTTTTTCTCGTTACTGTGCATAGTTTTAAAGATATGGCGCCTCAAAGTTTTGTTTCGGGCGCAGCCAACAAAACCGAAACTAGCCGCTCGAGGTCCCGGCAACACTGGAAATCAGCCGCAATGTGAACGTGACGTCAGGATCGTTCTCGTTCAACGAGTACGTAGGCCGATCGGCACCTAAATCTGTTACGCTAGCTGTCTAAAGATAGGAGGTAAGCTGATTTTTTTTAAATTCTGTATGCATGGTAGTTATTTAGCATATGTAGCAAGAGTTAGTGCGTATACCCAAAAGCTGGCGACTGGAAAACCCGTGAACTGCCGCTGCCGTGCGTGCGCTATGCCATACTCGTCGCTTGTATATCCTGAAGCTAGCGAATGAAAAACGAGTGAACTCGTTCGGTGCCGTGCTCGGCGGCTGTCGCCGTGCGTACGGTCTTCCGTACTGATTGCTAGGCCTAAATCGTCATCGGGGGCCCCGTGGAAGGAGCGGCGTGGCGTTGCTCTACGCAGCGCTGCCAGTGACGTACAGTACTGGGGGCCCTCTCGCTTTCGCGCTGCGGGTCAGTCCCAGACACAAAGCTTTGAGGCTCTCCGGCGTGGGCCGCGGCGCTTGAACACACGTGTGTTGGGCTGTACACGTCTGTTTTTTTCGTTCTTTTTTCGTCGGGCGCGTAGAAGCCGAAGTCCAAAGTCCACTTGTCGAACAGCGTTCACCCACACCTTTTCCAATTTCCGGTCCGTTGGAAACTAGTGAAAAAGCACCAACTTGCGCAGCGGGTTGTGTGAGCAGCACACAGCGCTACAAGTTGTACTCGGCATCTTTTGAGCAACAGTTGGGCAGTCTTGGGCGCACCAAGTTGCTCGCTAAAACGAGTCTTAAAGTCCTCACAAGCAAATAAACAAAAGGCTATACCGAAGCTTCACGGGCTACAGATAAAAGCAGCGGCTAAACATGCCAATCACAAGCCGAAGTAGCGGTGGCAGCGCCTCAAAAGAGCGCACTCCGCGCAACGCCCGGACTGGAGGAAAAAAACGATACAGACGTCACGGCCCAATGTTGCTTCAGTGATCGGCAACCTGCTGGCCGCCCGCTAAGGAGCAGCGGCTCGCGGCGGGTCGCATTTTTATTATCGGCATTAGTTGACAGTGTGGCGTCCCCCGGACGTAATATTTTGGCTGGGGTAGTATTTTGTGTCACTACAGCGATACCAGTAATTTATTTCATTTTGAGTTTTGGCTCGATCCTGAAGCATCTCTATGTAATACGGTAATCAGTTGTATCTCGGTTATCAATTAAAAAGTATGTTTTACTTCTCAAGACTTAACCTAATTTGCTGAGTATCCCTCTGATATTACAATAGTCGTGTCTCGTTAATACAAACAGCTCCGTTTCCCCCAAAAATTGTTCATATGAGTTTTTTTTTTTAAGGGTATAAAAAATGCTAGTATCCCCAAGGACGTTTAAATAGGGCAGAATCCAGCATGACGTCATGCGCAGCGACGCCAGAAAAAGTACCCAATCCCAGACTGCCTTGCACACCGAACTGCTCTCATCCAACCTAAATTTTACCAAGCACCCATCGTCTGCTCGCAACTCCGTCGACTGCTCCGTGCCTACGGTCTGCTTCGCCTGTTCGCTGTCGCCGCTGGCTTTTGATACGATCGGTGCACCAAAAGAGGTTTCGAAGCAAACTCTCATTTTCATCACGGCGGGCAGAAAACTCCTGGAAGCAGTGCTTGTACCGCTTTCTCAACCCGCCGGACCATTCTTAGCATCCATAGGTACGGTGACTGACACGCTCACTTTCCAAAGCCGCGCTACGATGACTTGCTTTAGACGACTCTCCCGGCGTGGTGTCGAGAGCGTTCGCTACAAGCCGACTTTCTACTGGTTAGGCAAGTGTTGGGCTCCAAATCTCGCCTGTTTGACACCGGTTCAGTGGACGCCGCCATGAAATTATGGGGCAAACAACTGCGTTGCCACGGCAATGCCACAGCAATGCGGATGTTTGCCCCATATTTTCATGGCGGCGTCCGTTACCAGAGTTTCCTAATCATGACGAAAATTACCTGAGAGTATCGTAAAAGATGGGGAACTTTGTAAAAGAAAAAAGGCACAGAAAATGGATCGTCTCAATACCCAAAAAAATTAAGACATTTCGTGGCCACGCCTACTTCCGTTACACTTGGCTCCATGCATGGAGAATACGTACGCCACCCCCTGCCCATTATAACCTCCTTGTAGTAGCCCAGTTCGTCCCCCGAAATTTTGTCTGTAGTGGGTGCCCATACCAACGCTTCAATATAAAAGCAGGGCCTTATCTCTAGGTCGTTCCGTGAAGCAACCATTCCGCAATATTTTATATTTGGTGTTTGCCCTCGCGTTAAGTGGTGGGACAATAAAAAAACTAGAGCCAAAGGGTCACACTGGACGTTCCAGGATCCACTGATGTCGACAGGTGAACTGGACAACAAGGTGCGTTTCTCTCGTAGTCTCCGTGTTAACCACGTGGTTGCATTGATCTAGTTGAAAATGGGAAAACAAGAAATAATATTGTGACAGCTGCATTGTTGCATTGTCCTCGTGTTTTAAAGTTAGTGGCATGCTTATCTTGTTGGCAAAGTTCAGGGTGGCAAAATGTTCAAATTCTTTTAATACGGCCTTTTTTTCTTTTAAAATTAATACAGGATGTTTTTGTTTGAAGGAGCATAAAACAAGCTCGTAAATGTATGGCATCTCCCTGGCTACCAACATTATGCATGTTTTCAACAGATCCTCTTTAAACTGTCGGTCTGTTAAGTTGCAGAAAGTATGTTGATTGACGAAGTTGTGGGCTGAAAGTTTTGCATCATCACTGCTTGCATTATACTCAGTCTCAAATTTAAGCTCTGCATAGTGTATGCTATGCGAAAAGCCCTTCAAATATATTTTAATCATTTTGTGTACTTCAAATGTCAATTTGTCAGCAAGTAATGAGCTTTGTCTGTGTAATATACCGTAGTTCCTTGATTCGTTCCTGTTTGGTGCATTTCCCCGGCTTTTCGGGGCTTCCTGGTTTTGTTCAGAATATGGCAATTTATTTAACAAAATAAAAATTTCACCAATGATGAATTTGCAATTTGAGTTCTGGATTGCGTGACGCCGTAATCAAACAGCGAAAAAGACCAATTGAGCCTGTTGAAAGGCTGTGAATGGATGAAACCCTATTAACGTGAAATGTTCGTGGGCTAGGATTTCAGTTGAAGTGAAGCATAGTGAAGCCTCAAAAAGCGTAACCGCTGGGAAATGTCGTCACATGGCTTCATGTCAAGTGACCTATACACATTAAGTTTCCCCGCTAAATTCAGCGGAACAATTTACATCACGTGACCTCAACACTAATTCAGTTTCCCCGCTAAATTTAGCGGGGAAAATGACGTCACAGGGCCGTGCCACGTGACCTATAACAAAACCAGTTTCGTATTAGATCTAGCAACAAAATTGGCGTCGTGTGACCAGCATGAATTCAGTTTCCTCGCTAAATTGAGCGGGAAAATTGGCGTCGCGTGGCGTGTATATGCAAATTCAGGTTCTCCGCTAGATTTAGCAGGAAAATTGACGTCGGGTGATCTACACGTGAATTCAGTTTACCTGCTATCCGTCATTCCTTAGACATGTTCTTAAGACCGGCATCAGGGCACCGCCATCTTGCTCGGATGGGGTGCGCTGAGACGCATCATAATCCGATTACGAAGCCTTGTGTCGTGGTTCAGGTCAACCGTCTGAGTAAGATAGGAGAGTGCACGGTCGGACGGTATAAATCAATTTATATAACACAGCGACATACGTAAATAGAAAAGATGCCTATTGCCTAAGTATTTACACATGTACAGTTATAAATGTCTTGAACTCTCACGTCCCCGTTCAGGTTGATGACCTCCCGCGTTGGGGTCACCAGTGTCTGTTGAAACTTGATGACGGGTTCTCGCCGGAGCCAGTTGCTTTTACCAGGGGTCGCTGCCGAAGTAATTCCGGGCTCTGTTGGAGGTGGCCCAGGTTTTTCTCCGAGAAATTTCCCGCCTGGGTATCAGGGTTCGTCGCCTTGATAGTTTGGATCTCTGTAGAGGGCTGCGGGTCCGAGTTTGGGTGGAGCCGGCCTGCGTCTGCGGTTCACGGCCGAGGACTGCAGCTTTCTCAGGTCACCGTCGAATTCATCTGCCTCTGCGGTTCGCGGCCGAGGTAGGCAGCGTTCTCGGGGCACCGTCGAATCTGTCCCTCTGCTCGAGCCCCACTCTCTCGAGCTTCTCCTTTTTTTTCTTTTCTTTTTCTTCACTTTCCACCGCCTAGCCTGGCACCTCTTCTTTCCTCTTCTTCTTTTTTTTCACCGCGTAACGTGACAATAACCCCCCTCTTCAGTATTTAGTTTATCTAAATTCTCATTCCTTCAGGTTACGCGGCTCTCTACCTGTTTTCACTTTGTCGGTGCACAAGCTCGCATACACGCAAAAAAATAACACCACTTTTCTTCCCTTCCGCGCAACAAAAGTACGAACTCCACAATCACATAGGCAGCAAAAACCTTAACCTATTATTTCACAGAAAAAAAAATTCAACCATTTTCAGTAGCTGCTGTCTACCTGCTCCTGGTTTACCCCTTATTTCGGTGAGCACCCCTCAACATATGTCGACGAAATGAACTTCACATGTGCCTAGCTATACCCTGCTCAGATAATCCGCCCCGATATTATCTTTTCCTTTTATGTATCTCACGTGGAATGCAAACTCTTGTAATGCCAGACTCCATCTCATCACCCTAGAGTTGTTTAACTTCACCTTGTTCAGGTATTCTAAGGGCTGGTGATCAGTTTCTACCACAAACTCTTTCCCATAAAGATACACAGCGTATTTACCTACTGCCC